TAGTTACCTAAACCTAAACCAAACAACAACGAACAACTTACTACTACCTCCTCTACTACCTCCACGACGACAACGACAATAATACTCTCTCTCTCTCTCTCTCTCTCTCTCTCTCTCTCTCTAGGGCTCGACTTAGCAACACGTTTACCTTTGATGTCAAGCTTACTAAAGAACATGCTGCATCTCAATTGTTGTTTCACATAACCAGTACTTGAGAAATCGTCGGGTTGGATCGAATGAGAGTCGTCCGATTCAATCGGGATCAGTAGTGACCGGTCTGATTCCACTACAAAATCTTGTATCGACCTTACTTACTGTTCGGAACTGCTGTATGTATGAGGAATCGCCCGATTCTCAAAAATATCGACGATTCTCCGGAATTCATTGTTCACCCCAATTTAAATGGAAAAAGCTTGATCCACCATTTTATATTGTTATTAATATTTTGTTTACATAAGAAAATGGAGTAAAAAATAGTTGATATTTTCTAGTGTTTCTTGTCACATAGAGGAGAAAATAATGGTTTTTGTCTTAAAATGCAATTAAACATGATGATTACTTCTCTTTCTTCTAAAATTTACTAAGTAAAGAAACAAGATAATGAAAGCACATAATTATAATTTACTAAGTAAAGAAACAAGATAATGAAAGCCCAAGTATCCCATGGTTGGTGGTCAAGCTTGGGATCTTTAAAAAAATTAAATTAAAAAAATCTAAAAATTAAAATATTTATTTGTAATGTTTTTTCATGTTTTTTATCAATTTGACGAAGATGGGGAAGTGTTTTAGCCATGGATACTGAATTTTTACATTTCCATTTTTCAATACTTTTTTTAACCTCATTTAGATTTGTTTCGTTTAATTTTACTCTAAACATTTTTTTTTGGGTTTTTTTTGTATTTTTTATTTTTATAACACTTTTTGCCATGGCTAGGATCCAGCCCAACTCAAGCTAAGTCACTTGGACTCAACCAGAGTTACCCAGCCCAGGGCCAAGTTCTGGCCCCGAGTCGTGCTTTCGTACATTGGCTGAGGAAATGAGGATTATAACATAAAACTCAATACGAAAGATGTTGCAAATTGGGAGTAAAGAGAACCGATGCTCAACCAATCGGATATAGAAAAGTAGTTCATGCGTGGGATGCATAATTATAGGAAAAATTGTATAAAACTCTCAAAAGTAGACTTTCTACGCTTTACCCCACCTTGTTTTTCTTTTTTTTTTTTTTTTTTCTATAGTTTTACCTTTTTTTTTTTCATATTTTTATCAAAAGTCAACTTTTATAGCAGATATCCCCAATACAAAAAATTCTTTGTTTTTGACAAAAATACCCTTCTTATACATAACAAATCATTTTCCGATCCAGATAAAAGGAAACGTCGGAGAGCAGTTGTATATTGTTCAACCCATCCATTCTGCCGAACCGAAATTGTACACTCCCAGGCTGCCTATTCCAGACACAAACAAATGCCGGATCGCACTTGTAAAACACTGGAACTACCTCCTCCAAAAGCCGGACTGCCATTTCCAACCACTGGACCGCCAAGACTTAAGTGCAGGAACTTCGGACCGCCATTTAGTCTCATTTTTTTTTTTTTCCAAACGAGGGGTATTTTAGTTTCTCTTTCTTCTTTTTTTGAGTTAGGGGTATTTGTTAGGAAACATGGTTTTGGGAAAAAAGTTACTAAGAAAAAATAGGTTGGGTAAATTGTTTAGAAAGTCCATTTTTTAGAATTTTATGTAATTTTCCGATAATTATATATACATCCCCGCATCAAACATCCATCTTAAAGATGGATGTGGAATTATTGTTTCTCCCAAAAAAAAGTAAAATAAATCGTTTGAAAGTTTCATTCAAAAACTTATCACTTTTAGCATTAAAACCTTTTTTTTATTTTCTTTTAACGCCTTTCTACTAGATAATACAATTATCTAAAAAAATTGAGATGAATATGTACACTGTCCAATACAATTAAATGTTTTTACTAATCATAAAGACACGTTATCATTTTAAAAAGATAGGGATATTCTCACACTCATGAAATGCATTTTTAGCAAGATTTGGAGGTTACTGACTTGTCCAATGCATCATGGCTTGAGGGAGAACCCAGCGTAACAATATATTATTCTTACTACCCAGATGATGATGTTGATGATAATATTGTTTAAATACCCAAAAAATATGATAATACTATTCTTGTTATTATCTTCTTGGGTGGTGTTTGTTATTATCTTCTTGGTGTTGTTATAATGTGAGAATGAAATTTAAAGCAAATCAAACGAAAACGACAAACGAACCAAGTGCAGAATCTTTTTTTTTTAAATGATAAAAAATAATGTATTTGTCCATAGTCCAACTAGGGGTGGCAATGGACCCATACTGACCTAGGACCCAAGGGGTAGACCCGATCTAGGTATGCATCCAGTAGGTTAGGTCTAGGTCTTTGTACGAGTATGGGTAATATTTTTCGGGTCCCAATATATGAAATATATTTGAATATAATTAAATACATAAATATTTTAATTTTTAAGTCAGGTCCTGACCCGACCCGTTGCCACAAGTGTAATCAAACACTCATTCCCCCTGTATAAAAAAGTCATCTCCCTCCATTCGATCATAAACATTTCAAAGATGGGATTTGTTGAAGAGAAGATCAAAGAAGGGAAGGGTTTTGGGAACCTGGTCTTCCCTAGGACTCTCCACCCCTCACACACGTGTGAAAAGGGAGCAACACATTTGGTGGAGGCCATCAAGGCAAATGGTGAATGGTTAAGGGAACAAGTGAGGAGTCATGGTGCCATCCTCTTTCGAGGGTTCGAAATGTGGTCCCCTGAGGAGTTTAGGAGTGTGGTGGAGGCCTTTGGATGGGAGAATATGGATTACATGGGTGCCACCACACGTGTGAAGGTTGCAGATCGAGTCTACACTGCCAATGAGGCTCCTCTTAACCAGCTCATCAATTTCCACCATGAGATGGCCTTGGTATACTCTCTCTCTCTCTCTCTCTCTCTCTCTC